CTTGGAGGGGGAGCTCATCCTGGATTATCCACAGTGGGAGAAGGGCATAAAAGAGGCGATCAGAGAAAGAGATATGATAATGACAGAGAGACTCACATTTGCTGGCTTGAAAGATGGAGGAAAGGGCCGCAAGCCAAGGAATGCAGGCAGCACTGGAAGCTGGAAAAGGCCAGGAAATAGATTCTCCCCTAGAGCTCCAGAAGGAATGCAGCCCTACTAACACCTCGATTTTAGCCCAGTGAGACCCATTTCAGATTTCTGACCTATAGAACTGTTAGGATACTAAATGTGTGTTGTTTTCAGCTGTCAAGTTTGTGTTACTCTATTACAGCAGCCACAAGACACTGATACAAGCCAGAGGAGACGCTGAATTACCCTTACTGAGTAAATGAAACGATGTCCAGACAGCCTCATCGTGTGAGAAGAAGGACCCTGCTCTGGTTTAAGCCACCTCAAGTTAAATGACTTGTGATTGATGCCTATGCTGTCCTGATTGGCATCTGTGTCAGCTAAGTAAGCTTTTATTTCAAAATTCCTTTTGTGAGAGAGAAACAGAATCACCAGCTAAAAATGTGAACTGAACACCTATGACAGTTCCCCAAGGTCAAAGATGAATTTTGGTTTTGGTTTTGGTTTTTTAATCCTCACGTGAGGATATTTTTTTCCATTGACTGGTTGCCTCCCACATGCACCCCACCCGGGGCCGGGGATCGAGCCTGCAACCAAGGTACATGCCCTTGGCCTGAATCGAACCTGGGACCCTTCAGTCCACAGGCCGGTGCTCTAACTACTGAGCCAAACTGGCTAGAGCTGAAGATGAATGTTTGGATGGCTCTGGGACCTTTTCAGAGAAAGAAAGGTCTAGTAAGATCGGAGTTTCTTGAGCAATTCTCTTAAGAAAACTTTTCCCTTCATTTAATGCCCTAAAGCCCTTCAACATTCTAAAAAGAGAAACACTTGTTCATAAAATGTTTATTGAATCATAAAGTGGGCCTAAGACAAAAAAGCTAATTGCAATAAACAGAACAGTTCATATGTTTGGATGCCGTGGCTACTCCACAGCAGGGTCCCTGGGACAGTAGATGCCCACTTTCCAGAACTGGGTAAAATGGTCTCCAGTTTCAATGGCCATACAGGACTGGCTCCTCGTGTTCTGCATTTATGGCAGGCTGTTATCAGTCATATGAGCTCGTTGATGGATAGCCCGGTTTCAGGAACACAAGTTTACGGTAATGTAATTTCTAGGCTGTATTTTCCCAGTCTCTTTCATCACTCATCTTCAAACTGGGTTTCCAGGAAGGCGTTGCAGTAAGACGCTGGGACGGCTTTGGCCTATTCACCACGGACAAGTGAGTCCACGAGTCAGGAAGACGCAGGCCCTCTGCCAGGGACCTGCCTGCTCTGTGCCAGGCGCAGGGTGCCAGGAGCCAGGACTCCGCAGAGGACCTCTTGACACAGGACTGGCCTGGAGAAGCTCTGCAGACATTTCCTCCCTGCTGCTCTGAAAGTGGTGTGATGTCAGTGATGTGTGAAAGAGACGATCCAGTGAAAGGTTGGGCAAAGGGCCTAGCAGATGATCACCTCTCAGTAAATGTTAACTATTGACATGTTTTCCTTTCTAAAATTCACAGAGGGAAACCTAGGGAATGTTCCCACATTACAGGCCAGGGACTGAGGCTCAGTGACAGCATGAGAGAGGGGCCAATCTCCCCTCTCCCCTAGGGATGCCTCCCCATGCACCCAGTGGCCTGTACCCAGTGGGTTGCCATGGTGATCACAGCTCTCGTCCTCTCCCACGAGCCAGGCACCATGAGACCACCTTCCTCGCTCAAGCCCCACAGCAGCCCTGGTGAGGGGCCTCAAGATGAGGAAGCCTTGGCCTACGGGAGACAACGTAGTGCCCACCGCTGTGTGACATGTGGGGATGGGTGTCAATGCAGGCCACCAACGGCCCCTCTGGGCTCTTATCAGAGACCATACAGCCCTGTGGGCCACAGGAGAGCCCTCTCTGGCCCCATAGAGCACAGCGAGGCCAGGCAGAGGCTCTCAACCAGAAGCAGAGAGATTTCCCTCCCAGGGCCAGGCTCTGAGTGCAGAGAACCAACTTACAGCAAACCCGGGATCAACTTTAGAAGGGAGAAGGAAGCAGTGGGCACCCCAAGGTCCAACACGCATCCCCTCCAGGAGGTGTGATCATGAGACTGGACGGCTCCTCCCAAGCACGCCCTCACCCCGTGGGTGCCCACCTCTTGCAGNGCAACCATCCCCTCCAGGAGGTGTGATCATGAGACTGGACGGCTCCTCCCAAGCACGCCCTCACCCCGTGGGTGCCCACCTCTTGCAGCTTCCATGTGAGACCAGGAGGGATTTGTTTGGATTGAACCCCACTCTGGTGACTCTGGGAAAACCCCCAACCTTTCTGTGCCTCGATGTCCTTCTCTGTGAAATGAGTCGCAAAAGAAGCNCCAACACGCATCCCCTCCAGGAGGTGTGATCATGAGACTGGACGGCTCCTCCCAAGCACGCCCTCACCCCGTGGGTGCCCACCTCTTGCAGCTTCCATGTGAGACCAGGAGGGATTTGTTTGGATTGAACCCCACTCTGGTGACTCTGGGAAAACCCCCAACCTTTCTGTGCCTCGATGTCCTTCTCTGTGAAATGAGTCGCAAAAGAAGCCATCTGCAAGGGAAGTCGCGGCCAAAAACACCAATCCCTTATTTTCCCAACCGGTAAAAACGCATTAACTCGTTTTATTTTTAATGAGGCCGTCAGTGAAACTTTCAGGATGCTAAGAGATAAACATCTCGTCAATGTTTTGTGTGTTTTTTTCTTTTAAGGCCTTTCATCTTTGAGTCAGGAGAGCGGCAGGTAATAGATGTGCCGGCAGAATGCTCGGCCCTCTGCTGGTTGCTTCACCACATCTGCTCCCCACCCCATTCCTCCTTGTTGACGGGATTCTGGTTTTATTTGGCTTGGCAATGGATCTGGCTAAAAATATGCAGTTTCCCAGACTCCTTTGCAGTGGAGAGTGGTAGGTGGCATAGTCCAGGCCAATGCGGCGGAGGTGAGCTGCTGGAAGGGGGTCCCTCCAGGGTGACAAGACCGTGCACCTTCTCTTTCCACTCTTTACCCTTCCTGGAATGGACATGAGTCTCATGGGTGTGGCCTTCCCCTTGTGATGGCGAGCCCAAAAGGGGGGGAGCAGGGGTCCCTGCCGGGACTGCCCGCCTCCCGCCTCCCCTGCCTGAGACAGCTGCCTCGCTGTTAGGCTCGTCCTTACTGCACATTCCCAACTGATGCACCGAGCACCCAAATTTGAGGGGCGGCCACCCCCACCGCATCATAGACAAGTGAACACAGTAGAGTGAGACAGGCAGTCTCCATGGAAACAAGTACCCAGGCCCGCCTCCTTCTTGCCTGAGATGATTGATGGCAATGAGATCCAATCAACCTTCTATGTCTCTTTCCAGACACCAACAGGCCACCTCTATCCACTAAAATAAATATTTTATTTATTTGTTTTGTCTTATTAATGTATTTATTTCCTTGATGAAACCAGCCTCCAGCTTTCCCGAGGCATAAAATGGGACACCCTGACTGCCCCTTGGGGCTGTTGTTTCCTCCCCAGGATGTGACTGATGGAAATGGCCTCTCCGTGTCTCTGTGAAATGGGGGTGACCAGACCTCAACGGCTTGGTCTTGCCCAGCTGCCCCCCTGACCTGCAGGATCTGGCCTCAGCGAGGCTCTCTGACCGCGCTGTTCTCACAGTCCACTCTCCCATGCTGGCCCACTGGGACGCCCCAAGCACCCCCCACCGGCCCCCTTACCCAGGCGGGTGCCTGGCACACATCTGCCCATCCCCACACTGGCTGACCCCTCACAGGCATCTCAAGAGCCTCCCTGAAGCACTTTCCCAGGCACACATTTGTCCTCCCTGATGGATGGAAACGACCTCGCTTGCTGTAAACCTAGAGCCACCCTGGCCCAGAGCGGGTGCTCCATGAAGACCTGCGGCCCGCTGGCCGACTGCGCAGCTGAGTCGACAAGCGAAGGCGGTGTCACAGGGAGCGTGTATGTGGAGAAGTGATATAACAAAGCTTTGCTTTGCCACATCAATGTTTCTCCTGCCATAGCACCATGTTCTTAGGGGAAAGGGGGCCGGTGAGTGTTTCATCAGGTGGGCCCCAGTGTGAGGGAAATCTCAGGCTCCACGATGGCAGAGATGGCTAAGCCCAGGGGACCCTGCAGTTAAGTGAAGAACACGCTCGCACATACAGGGGAAGGCAAAAGTAGTCCACGGTTGTGAGTACGCGAAACACAGAGTTTATTCTTGTGTTATTGTTTATTAATTATTGTCTTATTTACATGTATTAAAACTATAAACCTACTCTTTCCCTCCCCTGTATAACAGCCCCAAAGGACGTCGAGAAGTGAAATACTCAGGTAATTACTCTTCAGTTCTTGACTATACTTAAGTGCGGTGCTGAAGAAAGGAGGAGACTCTCTAGCTGGAGGGGAGGGAAACAGCACTCCAGGGAGAAGGAACAGCACATGCAAAGGCCCTGGGGCATAAGAGGGCATGGGGAGTTTGAGCAATGGCAAGTCAGGGCATGTGTCAGGGAGCAGAGAGAGGAGGGCAAAGGCAGATCATAGTGGTTGGTGGTTTTTATAACATAACATTATCGTTAATTCTGCTTATAACAATGACAGCTTTATCAAGCACTATGTTCCAGGTACTTTACATATATCATCTCAATCCCTACAACCACATGTGAGGTAGGTCCTAATATTATCCCCATTCTATTGAGGACAAAACTGAGACCCACAGAAACAAACTGACTTTCCCCAGGACAGTCCCAATCTAGGTCTACCTGTCTACACACATGGACCGTATTCCATGCCTTTGGGGCAATATGAAAAGAGTTGCTCATTACCCTGGCAATGATGTATCAGTCAGCTCTGCCCACACTCATGCTGCATAACAAAAACACAAAACCTGACGGCACACGAGAATAGCATTTATTGCCTGTGCGTGTGGGGTGGTCAGGTAGGTATCCACTGCAGTGAGTGGGCGACTAGGCTCTACATGTCTCTCATCCTTCCTTGGGACAATACAGCATTTCCCATGCTGATGGCACAGGCTTGAGAGCGCTAGTGGAAGCAGGTGTTTCTCCAAGCTTCTGCTTGTGTGATGTCTGCTAACATCCCATTGAGCAAAGCAAACCAGACGGTGAGTCCCAGAGTCCAAGGACAAGAAAACTACCCATCTCTTGGTAGAAGGAGCTACAAAATCTTTGACAAAGGGCTTGGACCCAGGAAGGCGTGAAGACCTAAGGCCATTTATGCACTCCACCTGCCACAGGTTAGGAAGGCCTGGGCGAGGGCCAGAGGGACTGCTGGAGCGGGAGAGGAGGGGCCATCGCTGAGCCCAGTTCCTATCCTGGGCATGAGAAGAGTGACCTGTCCAGGGTGCAGCACAAGTCAGCGGGAGAGCTGGAACTCTTGTCCAAACCCTCTGACTCCAAGACCCTTGCAGCATGAGCCTGGGTGGATCACTAGATCCAACCAAGAAAAACAGAAACTTCCTTGAGTATTTAAAACAAAGAGAATTCAATACATAGAACCAGTTGCTCTGGCGATGGAGAAGCTGAGAGCCTAGGGGCTAAGCATGGTCAGGAATTTGCTAGCACCCCAGGACTGAAGGGACATAGAGGAGCCAGGGTCGGTGAGAGCCTGTCGGTGCGAGCAGCACCACCTCTGAGACGGTGAGCAGGAGGAGAGGGAGGAGCCCTGCTGGCTTCTCCCTCCTCCAGACCCCCCTCCAAGCTCTCACCAGTGCCTTTCGCCAGCCAGACCCAGCCAGAAGCTGGGTGATGGGCAGAAAGCCTGTGAAATGCAGCCTCTTAGCCCCCGCAGTGCAGAGTGGCGTGGGAGGGACGAGGGCAGGGGCTGAGGGTAGGCAGGTTCAGAGAGAGTGGACTACTAGGCAATCGCCTCCCGGGGACAGGTGGCCTCTGTCTGGCGAGTGCCCCGGGGCAGTGCTTCTCCAACGGCCAGGCCAGGCTCACAAAGCCCTGGTTCTGGCTCAGAGCTCTGGGCAGGGCCTGAGACTCTGCATTTCTAACTGGCTCCAGGGCATGCCAACTGATGCTGCTGATCCCGGGCCACACTTTCTAGGGCAAGGCAACATGGGAGAGCAGCAGGACATGGGAGTGCCCTCGTGGAGATGCTGAGCAGACATTTATTCAGTCTTTACCACTGCCCGGCTCTCATTCCTTCCATGACAGAAGAATAAAAACCAAGACCCAGCCTAGTCAAGAGACTCACCCAGGGTCACCCCGCTTGTGGCTGACCGAGACGCGATGCCGGGTGGCCTTGCCCCTCTGGCTGGTTATTTCTGGGCTTCTGGGAATTGACCCAGAGACATTCATGATGCAATCTTCCGTCCATCATATTCCACGGGGCCCAGGCTTTTCATTCATAATCTCAAACCCTCACAACCTGAAAAAGAAAGATTACCAGCTCCATTTTATATAGGAGGAAACCAAGGCTCGGGAAATTTAAGGAATCCACTGAGGGTCACCTGTGAAGGAGGGGCAGAGCCCCATTTGAACCCAAATCTGCCCTGCCCCAAACCTTTGCTCTAGGCGTTACACTCCACTGCCTCTCAAATTCACCGGTTCATTTATTCACTCAACAAACATTGATCAGCGAAGCACTATGAGGCCCTGATTAAGAATGTGGTTGTCTGTGACCCACTGGCCGGGATTCAAATCCCAGTCCTCTCTACCCCTCCAGACGAGGGGTGACACCTCAGGAATTCCCTACCCCAGTGACTTGTTGGGAGACACCCTCCGGTTGTCCACACTGCAGACTCTGGATAAATACCAGGCCTGTCGTAAGAATGCAACAAGCCTGACGCTTAGACTCTGGGCAGGGGAGACAGTCAACTCATTAATCAAAACAAAAGGTTACAGGTTCAGTTCCCGATCAGAACACACACCCGGGTTGCCGGTTTGACCCCTGGTCTCCGTGCGTGCAGGAGGCAATGGATCGATGTTTCTCTCTCCAATCGACGCTACTCTCTCTCCCGCCCTCTCTCTCTAAAATCAATAAAAACATATCCTGGGGTGAGGATTTAAAAAAAATGACTGAGTGTCCAAGATTAGGGTTCCAAGGGAGTGGGGTGCTCTAGGACGTCAGAGAGAGCCACTGTGGCTCAACGGCAGCATGGGTTGCTGGTGGAGCCCTTGCCCAGGCTGGATCTGCGGCCACATCTGCAAGCGTCCTGGGACTGCAGCTGTGACAGCTCCTGCTCTGTGGCCCTGCGACAGCTCCCGGGAGGGGAACGCGCTCGGTCTCCCTCACAGCGACGCCTCGTTGCGGGGTCCAGCCCAGAATGTTTGGGGCCCTCCCGTGCCTCCTGCCCAGACGCCTTCCAATCCGCCGCGGCCCCGGCAAGGCCACTGAAAGGTGGCCTCAAGCGCTGGTTTCCCCGAAGGGCTCAGAAGAGCTCATTTCTGAGAGACAGGAGGGACTTGGGCTCCTGGCACTTGTTTGCACAAAGGATCGCAGGCTTCTCTCTCCTGACGGCCGCTTACACGTGCTGGCTGACCCCTCAGTGGAGCCCCCAGGATCGCAGGCTCCTTCCCAGAGAAGCGCGTGGGGGGAGCGGGAGGGGGGAACGCACTGTGTCCCGCAGGCTCTTTTCCTCCCCTGACCGCACAGTCTGTTTAGGGTTGAAGACTGGATGCTAAATGCGTCTTCTGGTTTGTTTGGGTGTGTTTTTCTCTCCTCTTTTACCTTTAACTAAAACACAACACAAAATAAGCGCCCTGATTGCATTCAGCTGTTAAGAGGGAAGCAACTCTGCCTCCCCACCTTCCCTGGCAGAGATCAAATGTGACTTTCTCAAAAAACAAAAAGTGGAAAGTTTACAAATACAGAACCCAGAGTCTGCAATCGCACGCCATCACTCCACGCCGGTGATGTGCGCTTCCGACGGCCTGCTGGCTACACAGGCCTCCGTGCTGTTTCTGTAAAGCCATATGCAAAGATGGCACTGGGGCACTTTCTACCCTTCTACCAAAAAAAAAAAGCCCAGAAGGGGAAATAATCTTTGCATCAGCTGAGGTCCTACCAGTCTGTTTAGCAAAGTAAAGCATAAAAATATTTTAAGCTGAAAGTGGTCAAATAAGCCGATTAAATTCATTTTCTGAAATAATCTTACCCCGAACCAGTTTAGTCATATACATGAAGCCTGAAAGTGCTTCTCCTTGCTGGGTTTCTGGGACCTGAAATATTTTCAACTAAATGAGAAAACGTTCGCTGCTGAATGGCCTATTAGAGCTGTCACAAATGTGATTGCTGGAAATAAACAAGATTGTAAGAACGTTGGCAAGAGCAGAAACGTAAGTCAACATTAATAGGTGGTGTAATTAAATTATCCCTTAAGCCAAGGTGCCAAGTGACACAAAATTTTTTGTGTTAATTCTAGTATGTTCACCTCCCTGGGCCTGCACAAATCTGAATGAATCTCCCTCCAGAATTGCTAATTTTATTTTGTTCAGTTTCTACGTAGCAAACAGCTCTCTGTTCTACCAGGAAAATCAAAGTACTTGGGACATACAAATTCATAACGGTTCACGTGATACAAACATGGTTCAATAAACAATGTTTATTTTTTATAAGTTAGTGTCTTGCTCAAGAAAATTAGAACTAAATTTCGGGAAGATTTATTTTCATTTTAACTATTGTTCATGGCCACTTAATACTTAAGTGACTTTCCCCCCAAAAGACAAATCTTTAAAGCAGAACAGAATTTATTTAAATTGCCGCCTTTTTGCACCATCTAATACATTGACATGAATTATGAATAGTGGGTGACTTGCACAGTTTGTAAATACTACAGGTATAATAGCTGGCATGTCTTTCAATTAAATTTTTAAGAACAATACATAACTAATAACAACTGTACATGATGAAGTCGTTGTACTGTGCTGCATTTACATATTTCTATGCCTTTAAATAGTATTTCACATTTGGAATCTGATGAATCCCCATTTTTAGGAAAAAAAATCTCTTTTGTTGCTCTTATTGAATTGGTGTTTTTAAGTGTTGTCAACGTGTGCTCTATTTCTTTTTAAATTAGAAAGCGATATGGCAAATGATTACAAATTATGGAAGCATGTTCCATGAAGAATCCAAACATTAAAATCATCAAAAAAAATGTTTTAAAATAATTTTAATTTCAATATTAAATACGTTGAAGAAAGTGCTCAACCTTCTTAGGGATTCTCTTTAGCAAGAGATAGGGATCGAAAAATGTTGGGGGCGGGGGTTGGAAATAAAGTAGAAAGTTTGGGAGATGAGCTTTAAAAGCCCTAAGAAGCTGGTGATGCTGTTTTAGCAGGTGCTGATACCATGAAATGCAATGTCCAGTGTGGATATTCTCACACTTACTCATCAAATCGAAAGAAAACGCTGTTGCGAAGGTGAGATTCCGATGACACTATCTGCACATGCCTGATTTTACTTGGCCATTTGTATGCAGAAAGCTCCATGCAATGCTGTAACGTACATTCTTCATGATTATCGGGGGGAACTGTAAGGATATCTTTTATTTCTTAAAACATAGACAGGCAACTGATAAAATATTGAACTAGCTTTTATATTGAACATTTCCAGGAATTATTTTTTTGCATTCTAGCTGGGCGCTGTCTCAGGCCCTTTCAGGAGGGTGAGACATTTTGGTAATTAACATTTTTTGGCTTAAATACTTTAAATACTCTTGGATAGTTTGCACATTTCAGGCAGGGTCTCTGAAAAGGTTTTCTTCTTACATTTAGAGCTTACTGGACGCGCTCCAGGGGAGGCAAAGGGGAGACCTGACGTGATTTGGGGCTAAATCTCAGTCTCTATCTTCCCCACCCCCACCCCCGTGGATCACTCTAGAAGTAACATCGCCATCTACTGGACAGCAGCCGAACCTCCCCAAGAAGGCAAAGGTTTCTGTTTTCGGCAATCCGAATTAGAGAGCTTCAAAAATACATATTTAAGGTGTAGAATGCCATCGTTTCAGGGACAGAAGAACAAAAACAAAGTAATCTAATCAAAAGCGAAGGAAAGTGGCAATAGCCGTTTTGAACACCTCTGGGCTGTAAGAGTTTTGAAAACTGGCTCTAGCCCATCACCCTACCCCCTACAAAAAAACTCCCAAAGAGGGAAAAAAGGTAAGAAATGTGCTATTAATTTCTAAAAGTTTTATATTATTATGAATTTCTGGAATGAAGGGTCTTTTTCACTAGTCAGCTCCCACCTTTTTCTACTTACATTTCCTGGGGGCCAGGAGCTTAAGAAAAGCACATATAAGCACACATACACACACACACACACACACACACACGCGCACACCCCACTCCTTTGGAGTTCTTTAACCTAACAAGGCTTTGTGAACATAAGAGTACAAAACTGGGATAACCCAAATATTATTCTAAATTTTTTTTCAGGCACTTAAGCAAAACAACTACCATTTTTGAAGTTTATGTAACTTTTCCTTATAAATATAATCACATTCCGATTATACATCTACAATTACAAATGTTGATTTCTGGATTTTCTCATGCAAATAAGCGTCTTGCTTTCCCTTTTCTTCCTGCCCCTAACTGATCACTGAATCTGCCTTGAAATGTGAGCATTAATTGCTTTCTCTCGGTAATTAAAGCCAGGGTATCCTTTTCACGAGAGAACGACATTGTTTTACAATTTCCCATACTCGCTGGAATAGTTTCATGGAAAGGAGAGGAGTCGGTTGTGGCCTAGGATATTAACACATGTTTTCTTTACAATCCTCCTAACATTTGACAAGACGTTCGGAAGATTTTTTTAAAAAATAGACACCTTATGCTAAATAAAAATTACAATTAAATTTATTAAGTATCACAATTTACCCATTTTTTTAAAAAGAAACATTTTTACTCAAGCTTATATTTTCTTATTACACATCATAAAAAAAAAATGTTTAAGTGTCCTAAGAACCTAAAGTCAGGTTTGCTATTGCATTACAGTCAGAAATTACTTCATTTCATATATATATTCATTTCATCTATATATCAAAGTATTTACATTTTGTAACTTAATTTCTGACTCACTAGAGTTTGAAAGATCTGGACATTATAAAGGCAAACTCATTTTCTGCTGGAACGAAACGAGAAAATGAAAATTTTTTAAAATTTATTTTATTAGGTAAATTCAGTAGGGACTCACTGTGAGCCCCTGAAATAAACCAGCCTGCTTCTGTTTACTTTCTCCATCTTTCGGAGCCTTAAAATGAAAATTGAAGTCACTGCCATTGGCAAGCACACTCCCCCTCCCCTTCCTATCCGATGTTTGTGTAGAAATTGTAGGCTCTTTCCCTAAAAGCCGAGAAGGCTGCTGAGGGCTGGCCGGGTGCGTTCAGGCGACGGGCTCCGGGGACCCTCCGCTGGGAGATAAAGGGAGGAAAGGCAGGGCAGGACGGGACGACGGACAGACGGACACACACGCCGGGTCTGGGGGACGCAGGGGAAAGGCCAGGGAGTACTCACCACTTCCAGTGTCGCTGCTCTCTCCTGGTCCCGGTTCCAAAAGGAAATGTGGCTCTTTTGTGCAGAACCAGAAACCAACATCCAGGAAGTTGGCAAAATCACTAGCTAAACAATCAATAGAGGAAACACAACACATTAAAAGGCCAAATTTGGGGTGGTTTTTTTTTTCTCCAATAAAAAGAAAATGAGTGAAGGTGGGGGGGGGGGGAAGAACACATTTTAATTGTTTTTCCTGTGACCTGAGCTGCGCCCCAGGTTAATCTAAGTTCGCCTTCGGATACTTGCTCTCCTGCCTCCGCATAATCTAAAGGACCCCTTGAAGGAGGGCGACGGGTTTAGGTTATCGCAGCCCCCGAAATTCGCTGCGTGAACCCGTCCCGAGTCCCCGCCGCTCATCTGAAATGAGTTTTCCTATGAAAATCCACTTTAAAACTCAGCGACCCCCACCCCTAATGAATGCCTTCAGTGACAGGAAATGTTAACCATTTTAAGCGTTTTATTTGCATTTGCTGCGAAGCTGAGGGAGTAAGGGGAGAAATGTACATTTAATGATTGGTCGTGAAATTGAGATCGATGAAGTGAGCGTGGACGTGTGAGTGTTTCCGAGCAAGGGGGCGAGCATCCTGGGTCCCGAATTAGCCCCAGACCCCGAGTGACTTCCCCTTGAATTCTCCCAGGAGCAAGCGAGGGTTTGCGTGTTGCAGTCGAGCCATATTTCAAATTCTCTTGTGTTGTTGATGAATTAAAAGGCAATGTCCTTGCACTTTTCAGCTGGGGAGTCTAAAGTAAAGTGCCCGTCCTGCAATGTTTGCGGTGCAGAGATGTGTTTTTTTGTGCGAGTGTTTTCTCCCTGGGATCAAAAGGGGGAGAGAAAAAAAAAGATTTTCCCTCCCAAATCAACTAAACACTGAAGCTCAGAGACACACGGAATGTGTATAACATTGTCCTTCAGAAATCCATCTCGAATTTTTTTTTAAAGTCCTCTCTTTGATCAAAAGCCGACAGAGAATTACACTTTTCTTCATTCTGTTGCATTTAACATGGACTAACACAGGGTGAGTTTAAACAAACAGATGGCCCAGGCATGAATGCTCCTTTCAGTTTGAGGAGCTGGAGGTGGGCTGGATTCATGGGGGGTGGGGGTGCTGTTGGGAGGATTAGTTAGGGAGAGGGGTGAAAGCTGCAAAGCTTGGGGGGAAAACTGAGACAAGAATAAACCCGTGATGGAAAATTTTTTAACTACCTCTACGCATTGAGCCTGCGATCTTCTTGCCAGTGCGCAGTGCAACTGTTGAAATTCGTCTGCCTGAAAGATAAATGGCCTATTTTATTCAAGAGTGTCAAGTAGGGAAACGAAACAAAACAAAAACCCTTCAAAGTATATTTTCAGAAGATAATCTAATGCGCCATGAGTGCCCGGTAAGAGGGGCGTGCGGGGGAGCAGGGCCAGCTCTTGGTGAGAAATTCCGCACAGGAGCCGAGCCGCAGCCACCCAGCGAGGGAACAGGGACAGGAATGAGAAAGGCCGGTCCTGGCTGAGGGTCTTCAAGGGGTGTGAACGGGACCTACTGCCTGCATGGCCTCCCTCGTGTGGACGCTAAGCCACTGACACGCGGCCCTGAAATCCTTGGCCCAGGAGGCACATCCGAGGGTGCACCAAGCTGGGCGCGAGCTCTAGGGCAGGTGGACACTTTGAGGTCACTGCTGCACCAGGTGCAGTTTATGCTGTGTCTCCCCATGTTGAAGAGCAGAGGTGCTGGCTGGGTTCCAGTCTCCCCGTGATGAGCGGGCCATGAACACCCCTCCACCACACACACCCCGCGCCTCAGAGACCTTCCAGAAGCCTGCACCTTCTCAAGGGCAAGACAATCAGAAGATCAACAGCCATCCTCGCCACTCCCCCACCAGCCCCAACAGTCTACCTCCCAGGTGTTAAAAGAAGTGCCCCAAATCCCTGCCAGTTTTTTAGACGGGGCCTGTTACCTGGCTCTGGGGCGGGCCAGGGGGTTGATAAAACAGAGGGCATCGCGGACAATCCTCCGAAACAGCTTTTCCCGTTTCCTGCACGCAGAGCGAGCATGCCGCCCCTCCGTGCCCCTTCCCTCCCCTGCTCCAGGCGGGCAGCTGGAAGGAAGGGAAGGAAAAGTTACAGGTCATATAGAGTAATTTATTAGCGATGGCGCATGCCCCGGGAGAGTGCAGTTAATTAAAGGCCAGGCTTTTTCTGGAGGCTCAGAGCAGAGAAGAGGAACCAGGACGCTAAATGCAAATGCTGACAAGGCCGGGCTGCTGTGTGGAAATTTGGGAGGCCTCTGGCACCCCACAACCCAGCGGCCGCCCCACCCCACAAGCTCCCGTCGCGGTCTCTTCATTTCCCGGGTCGCCAGCTAATGTGTGTACCTGGAGCTCTTGGTTGCTCAGATTCCACTTTTCCAACCATGTCGGGGCAAACACAGCCCCAAGCCTGGAGCAGGCAGGGTCCTGACAACTTGGCCAAGGTAAGAGAGCCTGCGGGGGAGGAAAAGGAAGAATGTTCTAGAAGGCGACAGCGCCCAGACTCCAGGCCCAGAAGGCAAGTGACATCTACTTTTTCTTTCCCTGTTCTTTCTCCAAAACACCAAAAATTTACCAGGGGTAGTATACGCGTATGTGTAAAAAATAACTTACAGGCTGCACACACATGCGCACACACACGCACACACACATTATTTTTAATGTATTTACTTTAAATACCGGGCTATTTCTCCTTACTGAAGGCCTTTTCTCGAACTGTTTTACCCCCCTCTCTCGCAGAGCTTCCCTCCTTAATGTAAACGAAGGCATTTCCCACAGCCCTTTTGCTGGAATGTTCTAAAATGCTAGCATCGACACATTTCTATTTCATTTTATTGCAGAAACGTTATTTTATGGCACGGAGTGTGTGGTGTGTGTGAAGAGCGGGCAGGGGAGGGGGGGCCTGCTGCAGAGGGGAGCCCCCGCGGTGCCGTCGGCCTCATATAAATCCTGAAAAGTGACAGTAGAGCTGGCAGGAGAATTTGGGAAACCAACAGACAAAATATACAGTGCAGCCCATAGGCCTCACCTTTACGAGGCAGAGAGCTTCTGGAATGGATGGGCCGGGACCTCCGAGGCCACTCATTAGGCACTTGATGAATTGGACGTGGGGCCCATTGCCCTCCTGGGGCAGAGAAATGCTCGAAAACCAAGTTTTATTAACCTAATAAAACGAAAGGGGGAAAAAAAAAGTCAGGAAAATTTCAGCTGGAAGAATAAATGCAGGGAACACAGTAAGTTAACCTACTTTTAATATATTTAGAACCATTTTGGCAGCCAAGACCAGTTCCCAAAAAGACCCCGCGTTCCTAATGGCAGATTTCAGCTGACTGGCCAGCTGCACACAACAGCGGCCCAAAGAGACCCGGTGAGGCCGCGTTCTCACACTCGTAGGAACAAATTACAAACCAGTACTATTTCACCTTATTGAACTCCAGAGCCAGGGAAGGCAAGGAGCAAACGTGGCAGAGAGCAAAGAGGCGTTTGGAGACTGAAACAGTTGCTGCCCCAACCATCTCCGCGCCCAGGAGTCTCAGAGCTCCCACCGCAAGGGAGAGAATTCTAATAATGAATCAAAGCAAATCAGCCAGGCACACGCAGGCCCAATAGGGACCCTTTGTATCCACACATATCTGCGGGGACCCTAAACCTTGGAGCTGGAGACTGTGCGATCTATTTTAGAACAGAGGCCGGCACAAGCCGGGCTTCTTAGCTCTCCTGGAGGGCGCGCCCAGCCGCCAGGAGCAGCGAGTGGCCGGCCATTCCAGCGGGCCACTGCCATGAGGACCTCAGAGCACGCTTTGTCCCGGGACTTGGCCCGGTCACCGCTCACTTTGTTTGAACCCCTGGAAAGCAAGAGAGCTTTATTATCTCCGGATCCCAGAGGCCAAGGCTGCCTGTCGGCGGCTCTGAGCTCGCACAGCCCCTGCACAGGGAGGGAGGGCGCATTTCGGCAGCGGGCGGGTCGGTGAGACGGCGCAAAGGAGGGAAAGCCGCCTCCTGCCCGTTCCCGATTAGGTGCGCACCAGTTCCGAGCCGGCCTCCGGCACCATCACTCATGTGGCAACACGTTGACAGCAAATCCTTTGTAAACCAGAATCAACAAGCCTCCTGCACCCAAAACCCCACCTCCTAAATCCAAGAGGCAGAGCTGACCCTACGCAGTGACCAGCACGTGCATCCCCATGATCATTGCTTTTTTAAAAAAATGTATATACACTAGCACAGTTATATATGTGTGCACTCATACATTCCCCACTCCTTCCTGAGCCAAGTTCTAGCCCCCGGTGTCCGTGGCTCGGACACCCGCACTGGGGCCCCGGCCGCGTGCGCCAGGAGATTAGGATGTCATTTACATGTTCATCGGGCCGTCCAGTTCCTAGGGTATTTTTGCAGCTCTGTTTTTTTTAAAAGTTGCTTTAAAATTTCATCCCCACAGGGCATTTTTAGGGCAGTGAGGCCCTTTTTTAAGACACTGTGATGGTGGATACCTGACATGATGCATTTGTCAAAACGCATAGAATGTGCGATACCAAGAGCGAGCCCCCACGCAAGCTGCGGGCTTCTCTTAATAATCACGCACCAGCACGGCCTCACCAACTGTACCCGGTGCACCGGTTGGAGATGCTGAAACACAGAACACGGGGGCAGCGGGAATGAGCTGGCAACTCTATTTCTGCTCAATTTTTCTGTAAATCTAAGACTGCTAGAAAAGCGAAGTCTGCAAATAAAAGAAGCCTCATTGCTGAAATGATAGAAAGAATCTCCCTTCACTTGCTCTCTTCCCCAACGGATATTTCCTGGGAAAGAGCTTTCAGAAAGGAGAAAAGCTTAAAAAACAAACAAACAAAAAACACCCAGACCCAGCTGCTTCACCTGCCCCATTGGAGGCCATCTGTGCCGGGGGCCGTCTTGGACGACGTTGCCCGGACGGGTGTCCGCAGACAGAGGCAGCATGTTCCTGCCGCAGCGACGGTGACAGAAGTCAGCTTACTTAGCAGTATTCTCTTTTATTTTTTGTTTTTACACTAATGTCCCATTACACTGGCGGCTGTGACGTGGTCACTACAAATAATGCTGAAACCCTGCTCTCCTTTTGCAGTTGGTTAGATCCGATTTACAGTCAAATGTCAGCCGTCCATCGGGATTTCCAGGATCACTCTGCCCCTGATCTTCGAGGCCAGGGAAGGGCTGAGCCAGGTTGCAGAGGGGGAAGCCACCTTGGGGTGCAGACTCTGAGGTGGGGGTTGACCTCCCACCTCAACAGGGCCCCAGCCTTTGCTAAAGATGGGCTCAGTCTCTGAAGAGAGAGAGAGAGGGAGAGAGACAGAGAGAGAGAGGTGCTTGTAAACCAGAGACTCGGCCATTCATTCGCCCGGCGTCCTCGTGGACACTGACATCTGCAGCCTAGGCCACTCTGTGAGCCAGACCCTCCGGCCAAGACGGCAGCCCTGTCCTGCAGCCACCGTGACGCCACCAGGGGGCGACAGGATCAACTCAGGTTCCCGACCTTTGGCCCCTCTGCAGCAACTTTTCAGGGGGTGGTGCCGCGATTTCAAACGGGGCGCACAGAGGAAGACGCGGTGAATGCGCGGACACCACCGGTTTCAGCTGTGCCTAGAGCGTGCGGTGGGATCCCGCTGCGCCTCTGAAATCCAGCCGGCCGCACGCAGGGGAGCAAATCTGGTGTCGGACACCCCCTAAGGAAGGCGACTCTGAGCATCTCTGAGCCCTGGGTTTTGAGGCATCTGCACCCCCTCTGCCCCTTGCTGGCCCAGAGAGCACAGCCAGTGTCACAGCCCCTAAGCACAGGGCAGTCCTTCAAATTATACCTACTTCACGGGGCTGAGAGGGCTGAGGAAAGAGAGGCCATGTAGAGAAAACCAGGCGCCAACAAAAAGGGCCTCGGTAATACCCAGCGAGGCTGTGGCCTGGCCAGTGGAGAGAATGCCCGGGCACTCCCTGTCCCTCCCCTTCCCATCCTTCCTCAGAGCTACTCTCTAGACCAAGCCACACATTTTTATGGCACTTTTTAAATGGTGGTTGGCATCGAAAAATAAACTTCAGCTAGTACTAGCCATAAACAAGTCATAATTGTCAGAGCTGATGTTTATAGGGAGCTTCCAGCAGGCCGGCTCAGCACCTCACACATGTTAACACAGATAACCCGCCGCATTCTCCCAGGCCCTTCTGAGGGAGGTGCCAGCATCATGCCCATTTTACAGAACAGAAAGTTGAGTCACAGCTGCTGTATTGCTGGTAAGTGACGGAGCTGGGATCTGAAGCTCACAGCGGGCCCTGTCTCTACCTGCCTCTTGTCACCCAGCCCACGGCAGGCGCTGCCTCTTGCTAGGCTGGTTAGGAAAACCCGAGACCTGGGGGAGGCAAGTTTCACTCCACTGGTTCCTTCGCTAGAACTGCTTTAGGAAACAGGAAGCTCAGGGAGAAACGCTGGAACCGCAGGAGTCATGAAAACAGGCTGGGCTGCCCCAAAAGCCACATGGGGGCGGTTGTCCTGCCCAGTGAGCCCTAGGATGCTCCAACCCAGGGGATGGCACTCGCCTCTGGGGACCGTCCTCTCCCCAGGAGAGGGAGAGAGGGTTGCAGCCTCTCCATGGGGGCAGGTCTGTGAGAGAAGGCACAAGTGTCCGGCGCAACCAGTGAGAAGTTGTGCAAAATAAGGAGGGTGCAGGTGGACAGGTGTGTGGACTGTCCCACGGCCACAGCCCCACAGAGCAAAGGGGCAGGACCATCACAGAATCACATTTCTTCTTGCCCAACCAACCCTTCCCCCTCCGAATTACCCGCAGATTAAGGTGATCAACAATGAAACAACTTCCCCTACCATGACTTGGGTTCTCCTTTCTTCTTTTAACAGGAATACGGGTTTACCTGCCTCTCCCTAACTTGGAATCTTCTTGCTCCGGTCTCCACTCGCCCAGCTCCAGCCCCCTGCGCCGGGAGGCGGGCCCTGTTGGCAGGAATTCTCCCACACCTTCCTCTGACCGGTCCCACTCCTCCACAGGGCAGGCGAGGATTTCTTGTTTTCAAAACTACTCAACACCTTGGGTCTGATTCACGTAATAACACAGCACACGTGCACTACACCAGCACGTGCGGGTCCACAATACTGTACTCAGAGCAGCAGCACACCACTCAAGATTTCCGACGTGCCCGGTCCACCCAGCTACCCCCTAGTGATAAAGACCCAGTGGCGTCCAGCTCTGTGTCCTACACAGACAGTGTCCTACAGTGTCAGAGCCCTGGGGCTTTTTTGTTGTTGTTGCTAATGCTCAGCCGCAGATATTTTTTCCATTGATTTTTAGAGAGAGTGGGAGGAAGGGAGGGAGAGGGAGGGGGGAGAGAGAGAGAGAAAGAAATATCAATGCGAGAGAGACACATTGATTGGTTGCCTCCCACACATGCCCAGACCAGGGCCGGGGATCGAACCTGCAACCAAGGTATTTGCCCTTGACCGGGAATTGAACCCTCGACCCTTCAGTGCATGGGCCGATGCTCTAACCACTGAGAAACACCGGCCAGGGCAGGTGCTTTTTGTTTATGTAAGTTAGATTTCTCCAAGTCGGACTGCAGGGTCAAATTCAATGTGTATTTCGAATTTCCAAAAGAATGACCAGATTTTGTTCCCTCACCAACTTGCAGCAATTTAAGCGACCACAGGAATTTACTGATGGCCATCTCCCCCGACGTCAGCCAGCAAAGTGTTACCCATCTTTTATCTTTGTCCACCTGAACCAGCCCCAACCTTTGTCACAACTGAGCCAGGGGAAGCACATATAACCCCCTTGGGTCAGCTTTGTCCCAATTCCCTTCCCAGTCACCTGTGGAAGATCCCGGTGGCCAGAGTAGGGCTCATGGGTGAGCAGCTCCATTAACCAGGCACATGTTGATCTGCTCCATCCCCACCCCATTCCACAGAGGACTCAAAGTGGTTGGACATCTTCTGCCTCTGATCAGGCCTCTTCATCTGCCTCCAAACCCTCGGGTCATTCCATGAGGTGGCTCTTGCCACCCACCCCCGGCTCTTTTGTTCCCAATTAAACAAGGCTTTGGTCACTTCCACCTGCAGCTGCAGGAAATAGGAATATAAGGGGAAGAACACTGTAAGTCCTCACTGAATGTCCTCAGGAAGTTCCTGGAAAC